AAAGTTGTATATTATTATTGACATGAATCCTAATAAATTGCAAAAAAATATAATTGTAATATTTTTCATTATATACAATGGAGGTCTTCTCCCATAATGCATTGCATATATGTGTATTAAGATGCTCTGTAGTGCAAAATATGAATTTCAATTGAATTGGTTTAACATGCACTTGGCTTTCTCCATGTCATTGATGCTGATGTAACTCAAGATCTGTTTGCTATTCTCCAGTTTCTCCAGTGTTGTCGTTTGGCAGTTTGATAACTTATTGGATGCACCTCAGTAGTTCTGCTTATGTACAGTGAATCCATGTGTGTGTGTTAACTTACTATTTGCATTACCTACATATTGAAAACCTATTATTGCAACTTTCTTCCTTACACTATAGTGACATTGCAATGTTTCCACATGATTGCATCTAGAGTAGACATGTTAATGTTATGGGTATTGTACACAGCTGCGCTATTTAAAACATGTTATTGTGATTTATTTTAGCTGTCAGTTGCATTGACACTTTCAGAAACTGTTGAAATAAAAGACAATTGAGGAAATGATCTTCTTGTCCCAATTTTGGTGCTGTCTACCCATTATTGTGAAACAATTGATTAAAGGAATAAAAACATCTCCTTGGTGTTGTCAATTTATGATCACGGAATATACAACTTCTCAAAATATACTTGGTACTGTAAAATCTGTATTAGAAGCTGCGGCTTCTATTAAAATGGTACAATGCAACAGAAGGGATGCGGCTTCAATTAGAGCATCTACACATATGAGAAATTGTGAATGTTTGGTACTCAATTGCTCAAAAAGAATGGGTGAGACTTATATTAGAGATGCGGCTTCTACCGGTAATACAAATTTTACGGTAGTTTTCCTAATTATGGAGTCGTAGCTGTATGTAAACCACATGGACACATATTGTTTTCATTTTAGGACAAACCTTCCTAAAATATGTATTATATTATACATGCATGTATGCCCATTACTTGAATACCGTAAAAGGGAAAATATTAATTTTAGTGAATTTGATATTGTAGGTATTACCACTAATTTTTTTGAATTCACTGGTTTGTGAAGAAAACAATAAATGTTATATTCACTGGGTTTTTATTGAGCAGATTTAGTTGTCAGTGAATGTAAAACCTAGCTAATGAATAAGGCTTTTATACACAGTATATCATTGTGTTTATCTGACACACCCATTTGGAGTCGTATTAATTGTGTTATTTGCCACCCACTGTATGAATAGCAGTTACTGTTACTAAATAAATATTATTTGAACATGTTATAATATACTGCAAAATTAAATTAAAATTATTTATGACATTATGAATTTTATTGATATTCAACCATGTATATGCTTCAGTTTTGTCCCAAATATTTTGCTTTTGAAAAGTTACAAAATATTCATAAATCATAGAAAACATATTTTTATAATTCACTCCAAAAAAACTATGGCAAAATATAATTTGTGAAATTTTGGTATCTGCATTGTATGATATCTCTCAGGGATAGCAACCAAGGATATAACTACTGTTAGCTACTTTAATTTTATGCAAGAACATTTTTTTGCAAATTGCACAAGTCGGTGAAAATCATAGAATGTTGCAGTAGTAAAAATTACTCTGGTGTCCTACAACACATTGTATGGTCAGTGAGTTTGGGGAAAATTTGTCCTCATGAATCAAATCTTGAAATTGCAAAAATTTCTAGCTGTGAAATGGTTTACAGTATCTCTGTAAGGTAACAACCAAACTTGTCAAAAATGAAGAAAAATGGGCTTACAAATCTCCCTCTCTCTCTCTCTTCTGCATCAAGAGCTCTCTGAGTATTATGTAGCACCCATAAAATGTCTTTTGATTTTGTTGTCATCCATTCTGTAGATAACCCTGTATGCTAGAAGATCTTTAATATATTCCATTCAATGACTAGATTAGGAATGCTATCATGGTTAATTCAAGATCTAGGAATTTGGTGTGTTAACAGTCAGTCTCCCTGCTGCCATAAATAGAATTGCATGCATTTTGGTAGAATCATCTGTAGGGTATTGCTCAAGTTGTAGACTCAACGCCTTTTCAAAACATAGCATATGGGTTTCATTGCTTATGTGCCTAGTAGCACAGGGAAGTGTATCAATGACTCTTCTCCTTAATAATTACTAAGGAGTTGACCATTATATTTGTAAGAGAGGGCAGGGTAAATTTGGAAGTCATAATCCCGAGTGAAACTTTTTGATCATGGAAAAAATATCTCAAAGGAAAAATATTAACACTTGCAATCTTCTGACTGAACAGGGGCTGGAGTGTTGCGCAGACATTCACCCTGTGATGAAAAAATAGCATGTGATTGAATATTTTGTATACCCAGTGGTGTCAAATGCTCCTTTATGTCCCTGTTATATATGTCAGCACTAACATGGTAAATCTCCTTCATAAACTTGAGGTCTGACTTTGAGATTCTCAAATTACACTCATAACCCATTATAGTTGTAATTAAAACCAAGCACCAAGTCTGTTGTGTCCTCTTAAGCTAAAAATATCACCACTTTAACTCTTACAAGTATGGAATTGAACATATACAGTGTGTTATGTCTGTGAAATTGTCAAAAGTTCTTGCTACTTTTGTGTTTTGTCAAATTAAACACATGTACTTGTGAATCCTGCTGACCATGATTGGCTGTGACTTGACACTGGTAACTAACAATCTGTCATGTCCATTTCCACTGTCAGTGTTAAAATTTAGTGGTATTTAGCAATGCCACGTTATTAATCATGGGAACTTATGGTTTAGTCTCTGTGCATCCATCTGTCTGTACTTGTACCTGTATCTCAGATATCACTAGACCAATTTTCAAATTCTACTCATAGCTATTACAGTACCTTATCTAGGACATATGTATGTGCCTTGATTTTGTGACCTAATCAGGGATGGCCAACTGCTGGCCATTCTTTATCTAAAAATGCACTAAAATTGACTTTTTGTGGGCGATGTGTTTCAAACTTGGTGTGAAAGTTCCACATGTTAAGTGTCTGATGTAAGTGTATGACTAATTTTCACTGGGTTTAAATTTCGCTGATTTAGCATTTCAGGCATATTCAGTGGGTTTTAAATTCACGGTTTTATCATTTAGATAATGTGTTCTATGATAAATTTTACATATTCACTGGGTTTTAATTTAGCGCATTTTCCAGTCAGCGAAATAAGCAAAATTAAAACCCAGTGAATAATTAACCCCTTTACAGTATTTTGATTTAAAATGGCTGACTGGCAGCCATTTTTTTTAAATGCACTAAAATGCATTTTTGTAGAACGCACTACCATACATTGATTTTTCAGTCATACCTTAAAAAACAATTCAACTATTTTACTTGTATATCATGCACTTTATATATCATGTGCAAATGCAGTCATCTGATCAAAAATTACTGCTGGCACCATCATGGTTTTAAAATACAGTAAAAAAGAGGTTTTTAAAATGTCTAAACCAGATCTCAGACATGTACTCAAGTAAAAACTCATTGAAGGTCTGCAGGAACTGTGCCATGCATGGCTTGTCCTCCAATTACTTATCATGAACTCCAAGCTAATAATAAAGTGATTCAATGACCAATTATAACTACCAGTATGTTTAGAGCTTTAATTCCACTATTGACATCAATTAATAATAGTTTTGCAACAAAACATTTTCTCATAGAGTAGCGTTGCTAGTCCGACAATGTCCACTGGTTCACAATCTGTTTTCTGTTCTAAGTATGTTTCATGCAGCAGCTCTTTCTCACAGTATATTTCACCAAAGGTGCACATAATTAATAAAGTATTGAAAACATATTCTACGTCTGAATATTCAACAGTGGCCAATAATAGCAAAAATTTAGCTTGTCAGACATTTGAGAAGTCCCGCTATTGGTTAAAATGTCACGTAGAATGATACACATGGTAAATGTACTCTGTGGAAATTCTATTTTTTAGAACCGTGTTGTATTTTCTGATAACACAACACCCTTACTTTCAGGTTCAGTAACAATCTGAACTGACATGTGTTACAGGATATGTGAATGAGCATGCATAGTTTTTTTCTCCCAAGGGAAAATCCTAGTTAATGCTGTATGTGAGAAATGCAAATGCCTGAATAAGGTATACGCACTTCGGCATTTTTAGGATTTTTTAGCATTCTAAAGTATAAAATAAAAGTGTTGTTTTCAGCGAGACTATAGAAAGGTTTGCATGGGTAGCTGTGAGAACTCTTGATGACAGAGAGATAAATAGGTACAATTCACTAAGGTGAAAAGCTTACTAGTATCTACTTGGTTGTCCATTAAATTTCAGTTTTCACTTGCATTACTTTTCCAGTTAATGTTGGGAGAAATCATTAACCATTAAGCCTCACAAAAAAATAAAATTATTTCTGGTCAAATTATTTTTTTAAAAATTGGGTGATAAGTCTTTTTGATGGGTTCATAAATTCGTCAATTGAGGTTACTGTGAAGTTGCAAAATAAGTGAAGAAGAAAAGATCAGTCACTGACCAGAAACATCATTTTTATTTTTAGGCCTTTCTGTGTGTCAACTTTCACCGAATTGACTTGAACGTACAATCAAAGAATATGCAGAAGAGAAAACAGAATGTTTGTGCATTGTGTATGAACCCATAAGTGTAACAACCAAAATGAAATGATTATATAGATGACTGCGGTTAAATTTCATTAAAGCCATTGTGTTCTCTCTCTCATGACCTACTTTATTTTCAATGTGTTAACAATACCTAGTAGGTATTTCACTAGCGTACACATAATTGTTTACCTCTGTTATGTTTCATTCCAGTATGGCTATGATGGACCTGTTGGTTCACATAGCTGCTAAGAATAGACTCAGTCCTGCAGGGCATGTGATCAAAGTACCTTCCCCTTATCCAGGTGACGATCCAATACAGGTATGCTAATTTGTTTATTTCTACGTGTCCTCAAGTTAAAATGTTGTTCAACAATATTCACACTGAATTGAATTTTGTTATTTTTGAATATATTTAAAACACAACAGGTTGGCACACTATTCAATATATGTCCTATTCAAGTTTTCCTATCATGTGTGTGAAAACATTGTTTGTCCAAATTCAAACTTCAAGAATTGATTTATGACAATTTAAATTCGTCTAATTCTATTCTATTCTATTCTATTCTATTCTATTCTATTCTATTCTATTCTATTCTATTCTATTCATTCTATTCTATTCTATTCTATTCTATTCTATTCTCTATTCTATTCTATTCTATTCTATTCTATTCTCTATTCTATTCTCTATTCTATTCTCTATTCTATTCTATTCTATTCTATTCTATTCTATTCTATTCTATTCTATTCTATTCTATTCTATTCTATTCTATTCTATTCTATTCTATTCTATTCTATTGTGATTCCATTGTTTTATTTTGTTTCCTGTAGTTCAAGCCCAACACTCTGATAGGAGATTTAGGTGTCACTGAAATACAAATTGTACCAAAACGTGCTCCCGAACCTAAAGTACCAGTCAAAAAAGTGGCCAAGTTTGAGGTGAGTTTATATAACTATTTGAAAGAAGAATATGTTTAATAATATCACAAAAATGTTTCAATACCCTACAGTGCTAAATGTGCAAATGAGAAGTATTTATATATTGAATATGCAAATGAGAAGTATTTATACACTTATTATGCAAATTATAAGTACTTGTATACTAAATATGCAAATCAGATGTTCTTGTACACTCAATATGAAAATAAAATGTAATTATCATTTATACATTAAATATGTAACTTGTATATACTGAATAGTCAATTTAGTTGTACCTATTTCTCAAATATGCAAATAAATATAATATTATGCAAATAAGATGAAAGATGAAAATACCGTTTTCATTTGTGAATCGTATATCTACAGAAATTGTATACAAGTATGCTCAGATATCTCTTTCTGAATCTACAAATACAAATGTATATAATCATAATTTTTGTTTTCCCATGCGTGTTTTTTCAACATGGGCTGTTATCACGTGGTATAAGTATGATGTATCCTATTTAATGTCAATCCAATAACAATTCACAATCTGTATTTCATCTTTTTCATTTTCAGAAAACTGTCCGTTTGACTGTATACCTTTCTAAGTCTAATAAATTCCTAGTACGAGTAAATCCTGATAAACCTTTGGTTGAGTTACTGCCTCAAATTTGTGAAGAACACGGAACAGTGTCAACATTTTTTACGTTAAGACTTCTACATAAACCAGATGAAGAAATGGATCTATCAAAAACTTTATCAGATTATAAATTACCTCAAAATGAATTGTCTTTAGTTGATCTTAGAGGTACGTTTGTTTTCATATCATTGCCGTATTTAGGTACGTTAGTTTCAACATCCTCACTGTATTTCTTTATGCGTCTTTTACTGTGAAGCTGGAGTCATCCATCTGTTTTCCCAACATGTTTTCTTTATAAAATACTTTCATCTCACTGTTATACTTTTTCTTCTATTGCTGAAAAAGGACCTCAGCCAGTAGTAGCAGATATGCCTAAGGAGAAGAAGAAGAAATCGATATTTGGTTTCAAGTCTACTACAAAGAAAAAACAGAAGGTAACTATAAAAAGTTAAAAGGAAAGTTGAGGCAAACACAGCATGATGTGTCCAGGTGGAAAAGCCTCAGAAATGCAGGGGAATGCAATTACATCTTTTCTATATTTAAATTTATCTACCATTTTGATTTTCCAGCAAGGAATTATGAATAAAGTATGACATCTCAACATCTGTTGCAAAAAGTTAAGAAATTATAGATAAAATCAATTTCATCTATGATGGTGGATGAAATATACTGATGAAAATATCTAGAGAATAAAAAGTGATACAAAATAATTGTAAATTGCATTCTCCTGCATTTATAAGGCTGTTTTATCTGGGCACACTATGTTGTTAGCCTTGACTTACACTTTAAAGTACTACTGTGGAATACTTTATTTTCGCTGGAATTAATTTTCGCTAAAAAGGCTGAGTTTAATGTGAAATATAGGAAAAAAAGTATATTCGCTGGATTTTATTTTCACGGAATCATCCCTTCAGCGAAAATAGCGAAAATAAATTCCAAGCGAAAATAAAGTATTCTACAGTATTTACTTTCTGTGTGTCAGTAAACATGTTCACTTCAACATCTCACCCTTCTCCGTCACAGTTAACTTAGAATTGTTTACATGCAACCATTGTAATTTATACATCACTGATTAAAGAACACCACATTCCTCGTACTGATCATTGTACCACACATGTACACTGCACAGCTAGTCGGCATGATCCCTGTTTACATTGGTGTGCAAGCATGTCTAGTACTCGCATTATAGTTTCAAAATAAATAATTCCAAAATGTTATTCATTTCATAATTCCATTGGAAAGATTCACTATCTCAACATTGAGTATTTACCAGTTATTACATAGTGTGATTGTGTTGCCATAACTACGATTGTCATGTGCTATAGCATATCATGTTTGCATGTACATTTCTCATAGTGATTGTACTAGGTCCATGTATTGTGTTGTAACAGTGGTTCATAGCTTAGTTAACAGCTTAATGCACATAGTCACCCAGAAATAATATATATATATATCCATCTTAAATGTAGAATTCAAGCCATACTTTGTAATAGTCTTCTATTTGTTGTTATCAACAGGGAGACACGGACACAGAAAGCGTCAAGTCGGGACCGACTCAGCAACCGCCATCAAGTGGTTTAACTGTAACACAAGTCAGAGCATCACCAGCACCATCACCAAAACCTCTTCGTCCCCCGCCTCCATTGGCTGGTGCCGTGGCACTGCCTATCATTGATGGATCGCATTTAAGGAAACAACAAACTGCACCACAGCATCAAAATGCTGCACCTCCTCCAGCACCCCCTCAGCCACCAGCTAGGAAGAGACCAGCACCAAGGCCTCCCAGTGTTACACCACGCCAAAGTGTCAAGGAACCACCGGTTGAAATTCAAGTTCAACCAGTACATGTAGACACTATTCAAAAAACTACTGACAATGGTTTGCTAGAAAATAGAATAGTGATTGGTGAAGAATCACACGAGTTGATATTAGATAACACATCTGCAACACCTGCGTCATTGTCGTCTCATAGTTCACTGCCTTCATCACCAAGTCATGGACCCAACACAAGCAATAACATTGCACCAGTGAATGTTCCTGTCCACAATGAATCTGGTACGTTGAAGAAGCGTAAAGCACCACCACCGCCTAAACCACCTCAGCCTGTTACGAAAAGTGGATCACCCCCTGTGGCTGCCAAAAGGGTGCCTCCTCAGCCACCGATGAGGCATCAACGACAGACGTCAACAGGCAGTACGGTTAGTGCTGGGAGCGACTCCAGTGGTGGAAACCGCATAGACAGTTCACCTTCTGCAACGCCACCGACGACAATAGAAAGACCCACTAGACCTGTACGGCGTGATCACAGCCCGACAAGGCTGAAAGCAGTGCCGCCACCACCACCTGTTCAACCGACAGTGATACTTGACCCAAGTCTTCTTGCTAACAAAACTGAAGCGCACACTGAAGGTAGTGATATGAACTTTTATGACAATATTCATAACATTACACAATCATTTTCATCAACATATCTGTGATAACTCCCCCATCATAGATGCTTAAAATACAGGGTATGTTAACAATAACCTCAGTAATTAAGACAAAGTGGCATTAAGACAAAGATATCAGTTTGGTCATGAAGACATCAATTAATTGTCCATACTTTTGTTCAGTGTTTTATTCTTATATATATTTTATATGTAACTACGTTGCATTTTGTGTTACATGACTTCTCTGGAAAGAATTGCTGCCCTTGTTTTCTTGACATGGAAACATCAGATGTTCAGAGAGTAATTGATATCTTTGTTCAGTGCCACTTGATAAGTTACAAGGCTCTAAAACTGACCATAATTTACAATTGTTACATTTTCATATCCATATCCATTGTATTGAGTGTATTAATTCCCGGTGAGGCATTTGTAGGTACAATGTTGTATGCAGCACTGTATCAAAAGTACACAGATAAGGAGTAGGGGGTGGGGGGTCACACAATATGATTGCCTCTCTAAAGCTTGTCCATACATGTGTACTTAGATTCCTGTAGTTCTTATACATGGAAGATACAGAGTGTATAGAATACAGAGTGTACGTGGGTGGGTTCCGCAATACATTTAGATGATGATATTCGCTGTATTCAACTCCACTGGCAAACTACATGTTTGTTAGATTTGTTCAAGCCTCTGAAAGACAAAATAGGTTAAAAACTCAATTCTATTATCACCAGAGTGTCTGTGAAGAACTATCCTGTGTCCATTCGAGTAAAAAAATTGTCATAATGTCAAAAACAATCAAGAAAAATATGATTTTCCAAGATTAATCTGTAGATCTGTTTGAATAACCGATAGATAAATACCTGTCTATTTAAATTTCATAACATCCTAAAGTTTTAATTTCGTATCTAGTTATTCCAAATATTACCATGCCAACCCCCTCCCCTCTACGTTTGGACACAAATATGAGATGATTTGCCAAACCCTGGACACAGCATGAATAGTTTAACATGGTGTCAAGGTTTCATTTATACAGGGTCTTTCTACTTGGTGGCTTTTCAAAACACATATGGGTGGCCACTCTAGACCATATCTAACCTGGTAGCAAGGAATTTAGGGTATTTCTACTGGTGCCTCTGTGTAAATCTGTGAGGTGTCTTGTCTAGCATGTTTCAATGAGAGTATTTTGGGGTGAATCGGTGGGTGTTTATACTGCTTTGCTTTCATGCTTGATTATCTGGTGTGGTTTATGTTATTATTATAATTTTTACAAATATTTACAATCATATATTTTATGTTCATGGTCTTGTTTTGTATATATTTTGCTGTGAAAATTGTATAACTCTATATCATATATAAAAAACTACATACATGTAGCTTTGCATTTTCAGTCTGAGAACTGATATGCATATGGCTCTGTTTCTTCAATTGCTTTAAATTTGAATTGTGCATTTGAACCAATCACAAAGACCCTTTCATGGGGCCAGGTCAGTATAAAAACTCATCCTGATTGGCTTGATTTGGATGCATATTAACATATTGAAGAAAAAAACAGACAACAATGCATAATCATAAACGAAGCCATACTTATGTCAGTTTTCAGTCAGATTTCATTTTTTTAATACATTATTTTGTTTTTAATAATGACAATTGTTTGTACCAACACATCACCTACATTGTTATTACTTTGGACACTACTTAATATATAATATTGCAATAAACTGTCAGTATAAATATTATACAAAGTCGGCTCTTGCACACTTTCAACTTAATTTTTTACTTACTGCAAATCTCATTTTGATTAGCTAACATTTACATATAAAGCGCTTAGTGTACAATATCAATATGACTAATATTATCAATAACAAACTAAGTCCAATACAACCATTATGTTCATTATTGTATGGCACATGAATCAATTTCTCACTATAATTACCCAAACCCCATAGACGACAGTTAACATACACAACACATGTAAGGCAACACTTGTTGCGACTAAGACTTTCCTCTAATTGTGCCAGTCTGTCATTTTAAAACCAGTTTATTTTTGCAAAAATTCCTCCCAATACGCTTTGACTTGGTTATTCTAGTATCATATTCAATAAAAAAAAAAATGACATTTGTGGGTACTAAATTGTAACCCAGCATCTTGATACAAATTATAAATGTGGTGTGAAACTTATAAATACAACTCCATAATTCTACAATCCATATCCATCATTTTATTTCTGATAACGAATATATTGAAAAAAGTTAAAAATACATTTCTATACTTTTCAAGAAACCAGAGCAGCACCTAAGGTGTGCTCCCAAGTTAACATACAGTGATCATTTGGATGAATAATCAAATTGATGTGGATCCACAGCTAGGTGACAGATCTATTTAACAAAATATTCTCATTTTATCTAAAAACTGTGGTTGGTTGTTGTACTTAGTAAATATCCTGCATGTGCCATACTAACAATGTAAGGTGTCATGTTTGTTTGTTTCACAGCCAAATAATTAGATTTCACTGTTAATTTGTTTTTTAAATTAATAAATGCCATTATATGTGCACAAAAAGCATAAAATAAATGTTCATTCGCTATTTTTTTCATTTAAATCAGTATGCGCTTTCAGAAAGCTCAATGGCATTTTTCTACCATCATTGGTTGAGTCGCTTAGCTATTGATCTGGGATAAAAACTGAATCTTTATGTTTCTTCTTTTTCTTTAGTTTGTTTGTTGTTTATATTTTTAATGCATGTTGCATGGGTTGTGTTATGTCCACTGCATTTGGCATGTCACTCTGTCTCATCAAACGTATATTTGTCCACACAAATTTCTAGGTGTAGCTTACCGTAAAAGATCATCCAAACCAACAAAACCGCCACGACCCCTGACTTACGCAGGTGAGGTGCTCGTTGAGAACACAAAAAGTAGACGACCCTGTTCCTTCATTGCACCCCCTCCTCCAGAAGAGCCCCCATCCCCAGAGACCGTACCTGAAGACATAGACAAACTCATCCAGGAGGGTCGGCTCTCTGTGGCCATCGTAAGGGATGATACAGGTGCCGATACGGAAGACAGTTCTGGTAAGAATACATTATACGAATAATGCACATGTGGTCTTTGTTCACTGTGTACCTGGCACCTGCACCTCCAGTGAATCGCACATCTCTCATCGTACGTAACATGTCCTCATCCCACACCCCCATGAGTATAGCGTATTGAATACAACGCCCCTTCCCATCTCCCAATGGTATAAATTATACCATACATGTACCTCCTCTATATCACCAGATATGATCATTATCAGGATTGAATATTTGTTTACTATCACTGTCATATTGACACCAAAACAGCTGCTACATTGTCAGCGAAATTTCTGACTTAGAACTAGAACCGGGTAGATCAAACCATTTTTACAAGAGTGTACCATCTGGCTAAATTCATATAGTGTACAAGTAACAGAAATTCTATTCTACTACCTTATGCCACTCACTAGCGACTGTGTCCTGATATACAAGACTTTGTCAGTACATAAATTTTCTATTTGTCATAAAGCAATTTATACGAATTGGTGAAAAGTTAGCCATCTTCTGTTTGTTCCATGTAATGATTTTGGGATAAATACAGCAATCCAGACAATTTAGCTGACAGTGTTGATGTTCTGATGTCAGAAACAATATGGTGATGACAGTTGTACATTTTCAGCACAAAAAGTGGTATAGGTCAGAGGTCAAGCAGTGACTTTATAATACACGTATTCAATGAATATTATTGGTGGTTGCATTCATTTACATTTTCGATGCATGCGTGTGTGCAGTGACTGGGTGACATGATCCAGTCATTTGCATCCAAAGATAAAATAATGATGTTGTTTACTACTGGGATTAAATATTCACGTATGTGTGATGTACGACGTGTTGGCAAAGTTTTACAACTTTGTAGCCAAAACTGGAGTATGTTTGATTATGCAAATATCCAATACGTCACCGACAGTGCCTGGTGGCGAACTCCAAAAGTGAAAGCAATAGTTGCGCTGACCTTTTCTTTCTAACCTCTGTTAAAAGATGTATAATAATGAGGTTATTAACAAAATACCAAAATTTATGTCTCCTGTGACTATTTGATTTGTATACCATTGATCAGGTGATAAGATCCAAGGGTTCACAAGGAGTGCAATATAAACACAAGTGCAGAAACAAAATTTATTTAGTGCTCAGCCATAAATTATGTCATATACAGTAGTGTGTAAATTCATGACATTCTTGATTGATTTCGCTATTTGTTTGTTTGAGGACTCAATTTCACAAAAGTCACTATGGTCATGGAGGTACATGTATAAACAGACTCTGTTTATACCGCAATGCTATGATTATCTAGGACCCTGGTTAAAAGTCATTGCAACTCACTAAGACCACATGGAAGTCGACTCAAAAGTACCCAAGTGAAATGTTAACCACTTCAAAAATGTTCTTAACTTGAAAAATAAACATTGATCTTGTGGTATTACTGTAAGTGACAGTAGATTGTTAGGACTCTGCTTTACAGATTTAAATAATGGTATTGCCTACTCTTAACTCTCAAAACGTTTTCTTCTACTTCTGAAGTTGAAAAGTGGCACTTGTGAAATCACTCAAATTTAGCATTGATTTTATATGTTGTATGCTTTGCACATTCACATCAAACTCAAACTTGATGCAGGGTCCATAGCGTTGGGAAAATATTTTGAAAGTCTTTTTTTGAGGTCTGGAAAGTTGTCTTTAAATTACAGGAAAAATAAAAAAATCTTTGAAAAGTCTTTAAATTTCTTCATAGTTATTAATTTATTTTAGAAAGGCCCATTTTCTCCAGAGAACTACCATATCCTCAGAACTTTGATGAGCTTTGATGATGATGTTGGCCTGAATTAGGGGTCAATGTCTTAGGGAAAAATGCAAGAAAGTTTGGGAAAAGGTCTGGAAAAATCTTGGAAATCATTTGGCTCGTGTTGCTATGGACCCTGTGATGGTAACCGCTAATGACCAAATATGCTTAGCTTAGTTTTGTTGTCATTCTTGCAAGCAAGTATACGATAAACATCTTTATACAGAGATTTCAGAGTGCCTATTCAGTTTTATTGTTGATTTTGTTTTGTAGGCATCCAGGCTGGCTTTTAAAAGTTAGGAAATATTCATAAAATACAAGAAACATATTTTTTTTATTCATATGCACAAAGCGGGTCGAAATGTCTTTTGTGATGTCCTGATATTCACTTGTACATTTCAAGATATGCAAGGAAATCAGCGCAGCACATATGAATGATTATAATACCGTCATCTTTCATGGAATCGTCATAGGTGCCCGCTAATTAAGTAATGTAGTATGCAGAGAGCCAGAACTCCTCTATTATATTTTGGAAGTGAAACCTGACCCGGCTAAAACAGATTGAGCAAATCACAGCTGTGTGTTATAAACCACTGAAAAATACAATCACCTGTATGGTCAGTGACTACTAGAGGCTTCATCCCTAATTTACATAAATACTACATTTAGAATCACGTCTGCAATAGATGGAAGGTACAAAATGTACATTTATTGTATGTTGGATCATAGACGCCATGGAGCCTTCGGCTGGATCATTAAAATGACTTAATTTAATCATAGACGACCCTCTGACATTTACTTATGCAGCACATGTGCCACTAACAGAGAAAATATTGTCATTTGCATTGAACATTACATAAGTTACATCTTGGATTACACAAGATTTATGGTAGCTATTAAAATTAGCTGAATTATCCAGATAGAAAAATTAACTGAAATAAAGTTTGTTGAATTAAGTGATATTAAGTTAGCTTGGCTACTTCAATTTATAAACTTAATAAGGTTGGCTAAATTATGAGGTTAAATAAATTCATGTAATTAACTAAATGGGTTTAGCTTAATTAGCTATAATAAGTTTATCTATAGAATAAGCTGAAATAAGCTGATAAATTGGAAATTACATATGTTTCGCTAAATTAGCTGAAATAACAGCTAATTTTGATGGAACAACAGCCAAAGTAAACAAGATAAATCTAGCTAAATTAACAGAGATAGCAAAGTTGCCTGAAACTGCAAAGTTGACTAAATTAATCGAAACAACAGATTTAACTAAATTAACTGGTTATAAAAGTTTGCTATATTCATAGTAAAATAACATGGTTAAACTGATACATCAATGTGACAGCCTACTATCTATGACTCCATGTGGTATGATTCCACTGTACACTTGTGATCCATGGTATTGTCACAGTTACTAACAGTGGTACTATGAACCTTTGCCCCCTGAAGCGGTTTGTTGACATAGTTGAAAAGATTTTATTGACTCCCAGACCCTGCCATTCAGTTGATAGTATTCTAATACAGTAGAATACTTTATTTTCGTTATTTTCGCTGAAGGAATGATTCAGTGAAAATAAAATCCAGCGAATATACCTTTTTTCCTATATTTCACATTCAACTCGTCAAAAATCAGTGAAATTAAATTCCATGAAAAACTAAATCCAGCTAAAATAAAGTATTTTACATTACTATCTAAACTCTAGTAACCTCTACCCCAGCAGCACATTGTCAACACATGTGTTGAAATACCAATAATTGCACTACAGAAATTCCACCAGCAATATGTCAGAATACCAGTAGTAATTATTGGTGGTATAGCTCAACCCTTGGCTTTGGGGCTCCACCCTCTGAAAATAACAAAAAAAAAAGTATGCTGTATGTGGTGCTACTTTACCCTAAAAAAGTAAGGGTAAGTTCATTGGGCATTATTTTAATCGAAAGCTGTCCGATAGTACAGCATTCAGTTGTATTGATGGAGTGTTGGATGGATGGGAGTGAATAATTCCATATTGACAAACATACAATGTAATGTAATTTTTGTGTACTATTTAACTTTGTTAGTTCAATAACTTTAGGTCTGGGTTTTAATCGATTACTCCCTACATTGCTGTGTCCCAAATTGACTAGTCTGGGTACCTGACTATTATTACATGACATCACTGTGTGTGATCAGCTTTATAACACATAGGGGAGGGGGGCATACAACTGTCATCCATTGTTTGGGGAAATTATCATATTTAGATTAGCAGGCCATATTTATTTATCAGTTACTCACTGACAGCAGATGCAAAATATTGGTTGCCATTCAAGACGTTGATAGGTAACCAGTGGAATGTTAGTTAGGTACACGTTTTGTTCCTTGGAGCGGTTTCAGTCCATGATGACGAAAGACTACCCTGTCATATGATAAATTTCCAAAACTTCTAGATCCACTTTATTTTCACCACCATCCATCAATACAACTCAAAATGAATGTAAAACAAGCGTCAATTATATTGTGGTAACTCTCGTCCACAGAGTCTGAAAAGAGTGCCTCATTGTCCCTGTCATCTGGCAGTACTCAGAGTGCTATCAGCAGCTCGCGTAGTGATGAACACACTGAAGATCAAGACAGTACTAACAAAGAAAAATCACAGATCACCGAGATGCTGGATCACATGATTAATGCAGAGGAAAAAATAAGTATGTCATCCAAGTAAATACTGAATCTGGGATTTGGGAATGATAGGGCGCCCTCTACCTATGACTATTAATGTTTAGCCTCATTCTGGTATTGGAAAAAATTAAATGTCTACATATATGTCTATGTGCAATTGCTGTTACTTGGTCTAGAACAAATGAGGTGTGCCTTGATGTACAAATGAAATATTTAATAGTGTCACTTTGGGATTGGTAATTAGAGTGCCCTCAAAATATTGAATAAGTGCCCTCCATGTACTAATTAAATATTCGATATCACTTTGTGAATGTAAAGCCTGTATAAAAGATTTGAATATTGTCTTGTGTTACTTTGGTGTTGGAAAAATAATGTGCCATCTACTAACAAATTGGAGTTGAAAATAGAAACAGAGTGAATTGCCACACTATATATTTGTATGTTATAAAAATAAAATGTCGTTTATATATGCTTTAGCTTTTATTTAACAGGATTTGTCTTGCATATAACTAAATATATTTTTATTTTCTTGATTGCAGAAGTTACTGGATCTACTGACGACATTGAGGCTGATGATGACAGCAGAGATGATTCAGGTATAGTGGAAGCATCCCCACCTCTGGTCTCTCCACGAAAGTTGAAACAACAAAGCACCGACGACAGCGAAGATGATGAACTGACGGAAGAAGAAGCCAGAATAATTGCTAATCTGGAGCTGGAAGATGACGAGGATGAAGAAGAGATCGAAAAAGATAAGAAAAGTACAAATGAAGGCGAGTCATCTGCAACTGAATCTGAGGATATTGCTCTGAAGTCAATGATGATGAAACTTAGTATAGAAGACATTTCAAATGATACTACGAATTACTCGCCCACCACTGAACACGAAGAAGAGTTTATGCTAGAGGAGAAGTTAATTTCACAAATTGCTTACAAAGTAGATCGACATCCCCTGCCAGATTCCCATGGTATCAAGGTGCAGAGAAGTGAGGAGTTGGTCAAGGAGAGAGACATAACTACACCGGAACCTGAATCAACAGAGAGTCAGCTCGGTGAAGAGATGGAGCAAAAGGAGGAGAAAGAGAAGATGGTACCAAAAGATGATGTGATCACAATCACTAAGAATGTAGAAGTTGAGAAAAAGTTAGATAAAACAGAAATCAAGCCTGTGGAAGAAGAGGAAATTAAGACCAAAGATGATGCAGTGCCTGTAGTAACTACTACTGCAAGTACGACTGCTGGAACAGCACAATCAGAAGGCCAATCTAACCAACTACAAGAACAATTTGCCTTGTTACAGCAACAGTATGCGGCCTTGCAGCAGCAAATGATTACCAGTCAACAAGCCGTATTGCAGCAACAACAGCAACAAATTGCTTCTGTCAGTCAGCTACCCCCCCAGGCAACTGCAACTATGTCGGCTCCAATGATGATGCAGCAGCCAGCTGTGATGATGCAGCCAGTCATGACTCCACAACAGCAGCAGTATCAGCAGCAGATGTTGATGCAGCAACAAATGATGCAGTATATGGGTATGCAGCAACCGATGATAGTACCTGTTGCTTCAACTCCACAGATGATGACCTACCCTCAGCCCATTGTCCAGCAACCAGTTATGATACCTCCTCAGTCTTCACAGCAACTTGTTGTTGGATCACCTCCAAGGGTGGTGCAGCAAATGATGGTTGGTCACCGCCTCATGCGATAGGTTCTCCTCCTCAGGCAACCCAACAGCCTGTGATAGGATCACCCCCGCAGGCAACCCAACACCCTGTGATAGAATCATCCCCCCAGACTGCACAACCCATTGTAGTTGCGTCTTCTCATTCCAAAACTACTGGGTTTGAACCAGAGGCGGATTTCGTTGAAGTAGAGTCAGAGATAAAATTCCAGGAGAAAGAAATTAGTGAAACACCAAAACAAAGGCGTGAATTTGGTATGAACCTTGATTCTCAGGGCAACATCATCAGAAACCCAAGACACACTGTACACACTTTAGATGATTTGGATATCAGTAATACGTGGTTTGGTTCTCGTAATAGATCATCATCAAATCCACCAGAGGTCGACGATGCCAAGGATTCCTTGGTTAATAGACCACGTGCTGGTACCATTGAGACATCGTCCCCTGATGCACCAAATACAAATACACACACAGAGCGAAAGATAGTTATTATTAATGCAGCAAAAAAAATGGAAGAGAAAAAACCAAAAGATGTGTTAACAATTCAACAAACAAAACTTAAAGAGCCCGATAGGCCAAAAGTGATTATTCAACCTGCAAAACCAAAAGAGGAGGAAAAACCAAAAGTCATTATCCAACAAGCAAAATATAAAGACGAGCCCAAAAAGGGCTTCATCAATGACAGTAAACCATTACCAAAACAGACTTTTAGCAGACCCGCAGAACCAAAGAAGAAAATTGTACTTGTGGAAAATACTGCAGCAGAACCAACTGTTAAACCTAAAGATGTTAAACCAACCAGAGACATTTTAATCATTGAAAACAGTACTACATCTGCTCCAGCACCTACTGCTGCTGCTGCCGCTACTACTGCAACAGTCACAGCATCGACAACGACACCTCATAATCCAGACACGGAACAAAGTCGGCCCGGATATAGCAAATTTGCAGCTCATGCAGCGATACCTAAAGCCAAAGTGCCTCGCTCTGGACATTCTGAAGTTCAAATTAGACATTTGTATTCACCCAGAGAAGATGAATTGTTAGCAACTAGAGAAAGCACCAGTGTATCAAAACTGAGATCGGTAAGTTGGGTCTTTTTATTTTATACAAAAAGTGTACTGCATTAGTTATGGTGGAAAGGTTGAAATCATTTTCTTCGGTGCAACAAATATGAAAACGACTACAAACTTAGGGAGACAATTCTATATTCAGATGAAGTTTGTTTGTTGTACAGAATATATTATATATTTTAGACCCCCCAAGTTGTCAGTGAATATGCAGAAATCATTATAGAATGGTACATTTAATTTATTTTAATTAATTCCCAATTTGTTTTCACTATTATGCTATTTTAATCTTTCAGTGAGATAAAATAAATATATAAACTACGATCTGTATTTGATAATTTTGCATAAAACATTAGAATTGATTGTTTCATAAAAAGCTGTATTCTTATTTGCTCCATAATTTTTGGGGGTAAAACTACTTCACCAACATTGAACATGTTCCAGATTAATGTCACATACATTGTGTACATTGGATATACAAGTCTTGGAGGTTGATATGATCCCTATACTGTCCACATGCATGTATTGTGTACATTGGATATACAAGTCTTGGAGGTTGATATGATCCCTATACTGTCCACATGCATGTATTGTGTACATTGGATATACAAGTCTTGGAGGTTGATATGATCCCTATACTGTCCACATGCATGTATTGTGTACATTGGATATACAAGTCTTGGAGGTTGATAATGATCCCTATACTGTCCACATGCATGTATTGTGTACATTGGATATACAAGTCTTGGAGGTTGATATGATCCCTATACTGTCCACGTGCATGTATTGTGTACATTGGATATACAAGTCTTGGAGGTTGATATGATCCCTATACTGTCCACGTGCATGTATTGTGTATATTGGATATACAAGTCTTGGAGGTTGATATGATCCCTATACTGTCCACGTGCATGTATTGTGCTGTATCCTTGTAATAATCAGATATCATCTTTCATTTGTCTCTCATTTCAGATGTTTGGTGGCAACAAGTCATGAAGTTTGCTTTATTTAAGATAACTGTAATCAACTTCGTGTTCAAAAGTGTTAATATTTCTTTCACAAACCACTGAAGGAAAAAATGCAATGAGAGATTCAATAATTTGAAGAATAGACTTTAAAATTGATACTGCATGGCTGACTTAGTTTATGGATTACTCTTCTGCAACTAAATTGATCGAGGAACTGATGTGCCTGAAATAAAATACAACACAGATCTGTGTATGTGCACTAAAGCGCCAATGGATATTTACAGAAACATACTGGATTTACAACAGAAGCAGAAACATGCACCTTACAGAGTGCATCATGGGACATGGAAATATTGCTTTGTTACCTAACAGAGTGCATCATGGGACAAGGAAATATTGCTTTGTTACCTAACAGAGTGCATCATGGGACATGGAAATATTGCTTTGTTACCTAACAGAGTGCATCATGGGACAAGGAAATATTGCTTTGTTACATAACAGAGTGCATCATGGGACATGGAAATATTGCTTTGTTACCTAACAGAGTGCATCATGGGACATGGAAATGTTGCTTTGTTACCTAACAGAGTGCATCATGGGACAAGGAAATATTGCTTTGTTACCTAACAGTGCATCATGGGACATGGAAATATTGCTTTGTTACCTAGCAGAGTGCATCATGGGACATGGAAATATTGCTTTGTTACCTAGCAGAGTGCATCATGGGACATGGAAATATTGCTTTGTTACCTGACAGAGTGCATCATGGGACATGGAAATATTGCTTTGTTACCTAACAGAGTGCATCATGGGACATGGAAATATTGCTTTGTTACCTAACAGAGTGCATCATGGGACATGGAAATATTGCCTTGTTACCTAACAGAGTGCATCATGGGACATGGAATCATTGCTTTGGTGCCTAACATAGTGCATCATGGGACATGGAAATATTGCCTTGTTACCTAACATAGTGCATCATGGGACATGGAAATATTGCTTTGTTACCAGACAGACTGAATCATGTGACTTAGAAATATAACCAAGACACATCTACATCTGTGCTCGTCACTGGGCTTCCCAATTAACTTTTTTTTTCAGTTCATTTAGCAAACATTTTATGAATAATAATTTAAATAATGAGTACCCTTATTGCAATTATTCAGGAACATTACATTATTATATTTATCGACAATATATAGAATCTTCAGCCATGGATGATATGAATAACAATCATGTAAAATTATGATAACTGTATCTGGGTTTAAATTGGGATAATGTGCCAAACTTGAGTTTTGGGGTGACCTTGCTTCGTCAGACTGTACAACTGTGTACATCACAGTCTAATACTGTCAAAATTTATTGTAGTGGAAAATAATATTTGAAATCTCATTTTTTTTCGCAGAGTATTCACATAATATAAAAGAATCGTAATAATAGAATCTATGTGGCCTTCCATTAATGCCTAGGTACAATGCTTGTAATATCTTATTACCTATTCAGATTTATGCAGTTATCACACTATGGAAAGACATATGCGACCATTACAGTACTACATTTTTCGTGGTCAATTTAAACGTAGTGTACAGGGTATTTTACCCAAGATTGCTTATCAAATTTTTGGTTAATGAATAAGAATTTATTACAAGTTTTGTTTCTAGTGGAATGACACATTTATTCTACCTTTCACTTCAGGATAGGATGTGATTTTCAACTACTAGTATATAGTTAACAAAACATATTTAGCTGAGCTGCTTTGACACAATCTGAGATAAAAACGTTGTCTAGATTTAATCTACCACAGCATGTGTTGATTTCACAATGGGTCTATGAATAGTCCAGTATCACCATGTAACAGTACCGGTAGTAAATGTCTCGCTTTTTTGTCTAACATCGTTACCATGTCAACAACTGACCATCCAAATCAAACCTAGCCACTTACAAATTAGTAGTCACAGTTTGTAGATTCTGTATCTGCAATAGTTTTCCTGAAAACAGCAGCAGCAGCAGCAGCTGTATTTCCTCACTGAATTGTCATTTATGCAAGACAAAGCATTATGTGAGATAATTTCACTGATACAATTCTTATGGCAATGATTCAGTTATCTACAGTATCAAAGCAGCTTTTGACAGATCTCCCATAAATATCCAGAATTTACTTTGAATTTCATTTCTTAATATGAATATAAATTAAACAGAAAAAGGACACAGCTCTTTTTACACAAATCTTCAAATATTAGGAACCTCCTCTGGTCACCTTGGCAACTAAATGTGCAATTTGTTTAATGGGTAAGGTAGGACACAGTACGGCACAGCAGGGAACGGAAAGGTTTAACATTCAACGATTCATTTCACATTCCCAAAACATTTCTAGTTTTTTGTAATTAACACTATTTACTAACATTCCATTAATATATCATTCGAACTTGACAAATATTTGAAGTTGGGTCAAATTTTAATGAGTTTGATGGCAGTCTGCTGATTAGATATCACAAACAGATTACAAACAAAAGAAATTGCTTTTTTGACCACTAGATGGAGTTTCTGTTTTTGTACTTTTGGTTATATGTGGTGCACTTCCATACATTGACTAGTACATATTCGGGAAGGGGGTGTTTAAAAATTTGTATTTACGTGTACTTAAATATGCAATCCAGGAAATTGTATTTTTTGACAGATGCATTGAAAGCCAATCATGCCAAATTAAGGATTTCTAGACAGAAGAAATTGCTGTACCCAATGAAGTATAGTTAACCACAATTCAACTATAGCTCCTAGATAATGTAAGATCTAAGATTCAACACATTTTATTAAATTATGATGTCAAAAATTTGAAAAGGGCTACAGTATATAATTTTTGGTAAAACATTAGGTTGCTATATAGTGTATTACCCGGGCTGGTTATATTATTGTAACATTTCCATTTTGTTTACTGAACTATGACCTTCTAATTTGTCTTTACACAGGAAAAAGGGACATGAACACAAAATATATTGTAGGCGTGTTTGATGTTTCTCTCTGTGAAGGGCACATGACCTGCCTCATTCATTGATTGGTGTATGGGTCATGGGGGCATATGCGGCTGGGTTAGTTTAATGGGATTATATGTTGGGGGGTCGTGGGGGGGTCAGGGATTATGTTGTCATTAGTGTTAATCTTTAAACTATGCATCTTTGTATCTTTCATCACTTCAGTACTAATTTGCACAGTTTTTTTGTTTTCTTTTTTTCCCATGTTTAACTATTGTGATGTGTGTTTTTGTATAAGGGCATTACATGTAACAATCAGCTGATTAAGTACAGTTCTGTAATTGGTAGTTGTTTACTTCTATTCTGTGGTGCTATTGTCAATGCAGTAACCATTCTAGATTGCCAGCTTACTGAATTCTGGTCAGCTCTTCCATACACTGGTACTTGTCCTAAGATTCATGTTTGAATGAATGACTTGACAGTGATTATATATAGCTTTATATGTATCTGGCAGTAACCACTTGTGTCTGCTGACATTAACTTATCAAAAAATATTGTGGGATTATATATAATGGCAGCCTGGTTAACTCTGTGAATACACTTTGACGGTGTTGGACAACTCGGCATTTTTCTCCAGTCGTTGGTTCTTGGTTACAACTTTTTGCCTATTCACTGTAATAAGAATTGTCACAAGATTAAGTGACCAAAAAGTTTTCCTTTCAAAGAATATAATTTCATTATTTGTGTTTGAAAGTAGAAGATTGCTAGACAAAACACTGTCTGCCAGATGATGGTAGTGGGTGTGTGAAAAAAAGCTTAATACACAAAATTCATTTTAACTGTGATTATTAGCTTGAGGAAATCTCAGCTTTCAGCATTTACTGTTTACAATGAATAATTTATCTACTTTTTCAGAACCGTTGTAATTGCTTAAATTAATTTCCTTTCAAAATGTAACACAAGACCATAATAGAGAGTTGCACTTAACGCAGCTTGTAAGACGACCAAGGTTTTCAGCAACTCTTACCGTAATCGTGATGAGTAATTGTTGTTGAGCAACATGAATAAAAAAAAAACATAGAATCTGAAGGGAACACTGAAGTAACTTTATTTTACAATGGCCCAAGCTAAACATTGTTTAAAAAAGAAATTGTAATTGTAAAATAGTCCTTTTATTGTGTGCTATCAAATTAAAGGTTCCCTTCTCCGTGCAATTTGTGCTTGCCTTCGTACTGTATCCAAGGTAAGAAGACCTTTATAAGTGTGTCAATCTGTTCCACAGTTCAGACATGTACAAATCTAAATATCTGTTGAATATATTTAAAATGATGAAGTAATTAATAACACTAAGTAATATTCAAAGCATTGTAATATATTATGCTTTTCAGAGGTTTTTGGTTGTATTGTTTTTTTTTCTGTGATGCTTGCATAAATTTTAAGCTTGTATGCATTATCACATTTTTTTTTTGAATGATTGAAAATTATTTTTGTTATCCATATGCAATTTGTATTCCTGATTTACAAAAAAAATAAGAATTTTGGAAAATAAACTGGATGTGTCTCCTGTAATGTTTGTCGTGTATGCATGATGTCATTGTCGTTAAAGTACCGGTGCAATGCCCACCCTCACGTTTCCCATTTTAGTTCTGTGTCCCACTGAAATGGGCAGTTATTGATTTTTTTAAAATACACAAAAATAAAGTTGCCGTAGACTGAGTTTAAAACATATTTTTTCACTTAAAAATAATAATTCATGCTTAGAAACATAAAAATTAATAATATTTATGTATCAATGGATAATTTTAGGCGTGAAAATAGCCATTTCACAGGCACTTTAAAGCAAAGCAAACTTAGAAAGCAACCCTGTGTGAAGTCATGTGAAGTTGAAATTGTATTTATTTAAAATGAAAAGTTTTAGATTTGCCCTTTTAAAAAAAAACTATTGGTTTATTATGGTACTGCATTGATTCAAATTATAATATTGACAGAAAACCCTAGAAATATTAAAACCAAAGGAATTGTTCATCTTTGGTTTGTAGTCATGTTTATGGGCAGGGCA